CCAGGGTGATGAACTAGGTCGAATGAAACCGCTGTCCAACAGCTCCTGAAGTTGCGTCATGAGCTCCTTCATCTCCGTCGGTGCTAATCGGTAAGGTGCCTTTGCTATCGGTGTTGTTCCTGGTAATAAGTCTATACGAAATTCTACTTGCCTATCAGGTGGTAATCCGGGAAGATCTTCGGGAAAGACTTCCGGATAATCGCACACAACCGGTATATTCTGCACCTCTTTCTTTTCTTCTTAGCATCGATTACGAATGCCAAGTATGATGCACATCCTTTGGACAAACATTTCCTGGCTTTCATCAGGAGATGATTCCAGAATTCACTCTGCGTTTGTCCCCGTACACCATAAATGATTCCTTTCCGGGTGGGTTTATCCTAACTATCTTCTTTCGGCATAATATCTCGGCATCGTTGGCGCTAAGCCAATCCATACCCAAAACGATGTCGAAACCGTTTAACTCTATGGGTAATAGTTCCTCATGGAATTCGTTTCCGTTTAGGTCAATGACGATGTTCCTAATACGATTACTAACAGGTACGAATTTGCCACTGGCAACTTCTACAATCAGGGCATTATCTAGTTTTTCTACAGGTAATGCTAATTTCCACAAATTTATGCGACACAAAGGAGTATTGGCTCCGGAATCAAACAGTATATTTGCAGGTAAACCATTTACAAGAAAGGTACCTGAAGCGACGTCTGCTGCCTCCTTTGCAGCCTCGAGCGTCATCTGGAAGGCTCTCGCCTTCGGCTTTGGTGGTATGTTGGGTCTTCCTGCCTCCTTCTTCTTCGGGCAGTCCTTCAAAATGTGCCCTTCTTCATTACACCCATAACAGGCCTTCTGGTTAAGAGTGCATTCGTTGGCATAGTGCCCAGGCTTTCCGCATTTGTAACAAGTGACCCCTCCATCACACTTCCCAGAGTGCTTCTTCTTGCACTTGTCACACCACTTTGCTTCTGATCCTCCTCCTCTCGAACTAGACTTCGAGAATCTACCTTTCTTACCGGACCTCGAGGATCCGTCAAATTTCCGTTTCTCTCCCACTTCCGCTCTCTCCAGACCCTTTTCTCGTATCTGGGTCTCCACATTCTTAGCAGCCCAGATGGCAGCTTTCAGAGTGGTAGTTTGCTTGACCATTGGACCGAAGTCCGCTGGTAATCCGAGGGCAAATTTGTTAACCTTGGAGAGTTCAGTTGGGACGAGGTGAGGAACAAGCTTCATTTTCTCAGTAAAGCTTGCAGCGTATTCAGTAACGCTCATTCTTCCCTTCTTCAGATTCTGGAATTCGTTGCTGATCTCCAGAAGATCCTGCTCAGAGCAGTATTGCATCTTCAACTGTACCAGAAAATCCTCCCACGACATTTTGCTTGCTTCACCTTTGGGCATTGAATCAGCTAATAGCTTCCACCAGCTTAGTACTCCAGATTTCAATAGAGGAACTGCAAGAGCAGTCTTCTGCCTATTGCTACACTCGCAACTCTCAAACATTGTCTCCATCTCAGAGATCCAGTTCATGACTTCCACCGGCGTCGGGCTTCCGGATAGACTCGGTGGCTTGGATGCCATGAAATCCTTGTATTTGCATCCACGTCCATCATTTCCTCCATCCTGGTGGTTTTGCCTAACTATCGGTGGGTTGGCTTGACCAATAGTCCCACTGTAGTTTCCTTCTTCAGTCTGCCCTTCGTTCAACTCGGGCTGTTCGAGCTGAATAGTCGCTTCCTCTCGATTTTGCTGGAGCAAACGCCTGGTTTCCTCCATTTGACGATCCAACATTGCCTGGATCATCGCTTGCACTCCGGCCATCGTTATTGGTCCGGCAGCGGCTTCCACAACTGGTATTTGCTCGATCACGGGGGGTTGGTGTCCGTTCCCATTTGCGTTTACGTTTCCGCTACGGGTCCTTACCATCTTGATCTATATACCGAATAAGGTGGATTTAGATCTTTATTTAGGAGAGACGTTTTAAATCGTCCTTATCACTCCGAAACGTTTACATGCTAGTTCTAATATCGTAGTCGTACGTTTAGAATCCTAAACACATAAGGTTCCAGATCCGGTCGGCAACAGACCATAGATCCCGAACAAAATAACAGCATATCATGCATAAAACATTTAGCACATAAAAGCATTTTAGGCACAATTCCTAAAATAAGCTAGTGCTCACACCTCACAATCATCGCTTAGCATTCTAAGTTTAAGTCTAGAAATCCTACAAATTCCTAGTTCGCTTAAACTAATGCTCTGATACCAACTGTGACATCCCCAAAATCACGGCCAGAAAAGACCGGTTTTGTTTATACTTTATTTCAAAATCAGAGTTATCTTTTAATAAAAGGGTTGCGGAATTTGTCCCAAAACAATAATATGATAAAGATTTATCAAAAGCATTTCCATAGAAATGTATTTCATTAAAAGACTCGGGATGTCATGTTCGTACAGATCAAAAGTATAAACAGTACAATATAAGCCTTACTACATTATTTCATATCTACAGGCCTATATCCGTAATCCCTCGTCCAAAACATCACACCTATGCTCATGCGCCACTACCTGTAATACATAAAACTGAGTGGGTCAGGCTTGGGAGCCTGGTGAGCACATAGGGTTTTCAACCCACAATAAATAAGTTTATTAATTTCATCAATCAACAATAACCCGATTACCCGTTCCCGTTATCCTCACTTTACGTCCCTAAACACCTATCATAAGGGACCTAGCCTAAGGATCATCATCGGGACGGACACTACTGCTAAGGGGATTCCTCAGCAATAAATGTCCTAATAGGCAACCATGTGGGGGATGGAGTACACCGGTGAACACATCGTTCACAACACCTACAGGTTGCGAGCCTGCTAGTGTTCCACTGGACTGTCTAGAAGAGTCCGTGGTCGTCATCTATACTCCGCTAGATGACTGGATCAACAACAACAACATCGAGGCCTCTCATCATTTTATCACACATCACCTATTACATCTACCCATGTTTTACCCCAACATTTTCGTAGATATAAAATACATATACAGTTTAAATCATTGAAAACATGTATAACAACGTTCATCTAGCATAGATAGCAAGTATTCAGATAATATGCACACATAGCACGTAATTTATATAAAATACTTCATATCTATGTGTAAGTTGAAGGTAACTATGCACTCACCGGAAAAGGTGGTGATTCCGAACTCAGACAGCGCTTCGCTTCTTAAAAAGAATTTTTCTTCGACGAAACCTAGTATTATTACCACTAGAGTTTAGTTTATTATTCGTCGAGACTAATTAATAGTCTAGCTATTATTATTATTATTATATAAGCGTCAAAAAAATACTTATATAACCCATAATAATAGCCCAAGTATTTATTATAAGTTCCTAATAACGTTACTATAATTAAATAAAAGTTATATTAAAAATAGCGTAGGCGTAGCTCACTTACAGCGGGTTTTATAGAAAACCGGGCTTTGCTTGGAGCAGCGTTCCGAGCCGAAAAGCTCTTCTTCTCAGAGCCTTCGAGCACTCCGGGGCTTCCGCCTCGTGCTAGGGAGGTTCCCTAGGCTTTTCGGGGGATTTCGGGGCTAGAGAGAGGTTCTAGAGAGAGAGAGAGAGTAAAGAGAAGAAAGAATGGGAAAGGTGTGAAGAAAATGAGGGTGGGAGAGGTGGTATTTATAGGGTGAAATGTGGCTGAACTTGGTGCCACATGTCACCATCTGGTGGCAAGCCTTGGGGAGAAAGCAATGGCCAAGATTGTGCCACATCACCCATTTTCGCACAGCACACTTCCGACTTCTAAAATCCGTAACTTTCACATACGACCTCCGTTTTTGACGTTCTTTATATCCACGCGTAGGTAATAATAAGATCTACAACTTTCATTTTGACACCGTCAGCTAATTCTCGACCGATCTTAAATTTAACAGTACAAGGAGATTATACTGTTAAACGTCTGCGTAAAATTAATAACTTCTACATACGGACTCTGTTTTTGTCTGTCTTTTTACCGTTGATTTCCTATTAATGAGATCTTCAACTCTCATTTATGTTGCGTAAGCCAAAAACCGCTCGAACTAAAATTCGAGTTTCAGGCCGTGCACTGCTAAGCCGAATCTTAGAAAAATCATAACTTCTTCATACGAAGTCAGATTTGGGCGTTCTTTTTATCGATGTTCTTAGTTTAACATATTCTACGACTTTTGTTTAGATTGCTAAGGCTAAAAAGTCTTCTATCGTAAATTCACTATTTACGTTCCCGGTGTCGTGCCGGTTTTGTCGTAAAACTTCGGCGGGCCATAACTTCTTCTTTATAGCTCGGATTTCGGCATTCTTTATATGCACGGAAACCTTGAGACATATTCTACAACTTTATGTAGAGATATCGGGATTATCTCACACTTTAATTTTGACGCTCATTTTTATTCTTTATTAATTATACATTTATAATTAAATAATAAACACATAAACACACATAATTCACATAATACTCAAATATTTCATATTTATTACTTCAAAAAGAGTTACAATAGTTGACCTAGACTATTACATTGACAAAAATGCTTAGCCCTGAAAAC